TTTTCTCTCGACTTCAGAGATACCAGCTTTCGTAGATTATAATAAAAAAATAAAAAAAATAAACTAACGAAAAGTATAAAATAAAAAACTGAAGAAATTCAGACCAAAATTCACTAAAACAAAAAAATTACCATCGCCATCATACTAGATGCCTTCTAGTACTCAAACTTAGCAGACCTTATTTGATGTAATTTTTTTGACAATATTTTTCATATAAATTTAGAAATTTATGTAGTACAGGTTCAACCCTGTATTTGTAAATTTCATAGTTTCTGAGAAATTACATTTACGTCTCTTGAACATAAAAAAAAACGAGAATAAAGACCAAACAAATGACCAGAAACACGAGACAATCTTTATAACAGTCTTAAAACAAAAAAAGATTTTCGTTTAAGCAGTTTAATAGGGTTTTTATTAAATCACGCGGAATAATTAGATTTTTTATAACTTTGAATTAACGCCCTCGTTAATATTAGAAAACTTGTTAAGATAAGACTTTTAATAATAAATGATCAAGTTTCTGTGTATCTGCTTTTAGAAAATTTAAGTTTTATAACGGAGATTAGTTAGAAATTTGGCATTTCGAAAAATATGAATATCTGGTTGAATTATTAAAGCAATAGTCAGCTTCTAATCTTAAAATATTTGCTACATTAAAGTTCCCTATAATGAAAGTTTTTTTGAGATGAAGCAAGTCAAAGAACCTTATAAAGTCGTCAACAGCTAATAACAAGTCAAAAAAAATATGAAATAATAAAAGGCAAAATCTGCAAAGCCAAAAATATTAGCAAAAAGTTTCAAAGCGTCGAATTCTGCGCCCTCGTTTCGTATAACAATGGTCTTTGACAAAAATAATGAAAAAGTAATAAGAAGCGCTGTGGATTTTATATTGTTTGCAAAGTTTTCCCGATATCAGTTTGTTAGTTATATTTCCGAACTAGAGTAACCCGATTCCGATATCTTGTTAAAAAACCTATTCTGCTATCGTCCCGTAATAATATAAAGCAACTCGAATAAAACAAGCTTGGAAATTCTACACGTAAGGACAACGCATCATCGAGCTATATTTGATTTTATTGCGGGTGAACCCTTAGTCAAGAGGAATGTGGTCGGTGTGCTGCTCTCTTCCTTCATTTCAAAAGTTATGAGCTGCTCCAAAACCTTGACAAACTCTCTAGCATACCTAACGACAATGCGGATCACACATGTGCATATCTCTCCCAGACTGGAAACATCGGGGAATCACACCATAAATAATAATGGGGCTTGTAATAGCGCATAGAGCGAGCTCGACTAAAGAAATAACACTACTAATAACAGAGTAAGTAAAGGGAGTAAGCGGGTTAAACTGGCTGGAACACATCGTGCCATTTCCACATTACATAATTAGATTATTTTACGTAAACAGCACGATATTTAATGCAGTTCGAGACACTGAAACTTAAATTCGAGCAAAAACATCAAACACTGATAACAGAGTGTCCTGAAAAAAATTCTGATGACAAGGGCATGTCGTGACAACTTGACATAATTTTTTTCTAATAAAAATTAATTTAAAATTAACATCAAAAAATCATTACTCAAATTGACCATTTTTTATAAAAATGCAATTTTAAGTAAGACAAGATAAGTAAGATATATGTATGGCCCAATGTTTGATAAGCAAATCTTAACATCAAAAAATTTTATCTTGAAAACTACTCGATGTATTCTTTTAAAAATTTGGATTTGATGGTGATGATGATTAAAAATGTACTTATAGGTTTATTCTTGGAACACTGTTCGAAGAAAAGTTCGAAAATATTAAATTTTAAATTGCATATCATTCTAAAGGGCAAGTTCATCTCTCTAGAATGGTCTTTATTTGAAGGAAATCGGCCTAATAGTTATTGAGTAATAATTTTTTAAAGTTAAATTATTTTAAATTAGAAAAAAATTATTCTGTTCAAAGTTTTTGGACTTTTTGGAAAAAAATAATGTGCATTGATTTGTCTCTCTGAGACGAACAAAATGATATATAATATGCTCTTTTTTGGTCGCCTTGTGTTATTTCAGTAACCCTTTGCAGTTAAGCCAAAAATTTGGGTTTTGGAAATGTTGATCAAAAATTTGTCCTAGAATACACCTTTTTGTTAAAAAATCTCTTGTGTTATTATTTTTGAATGACGCACCTTAGTTCTGAAAAACAAGCCTCGTAGTGAGTTTTTTATACGGTGTTCGCAAATATTCTAACCACTAAAAAATTCTCACATATTTCAAGATGTAAATCAATCTACACAACTATCTTAAATTTTTGACAGGTTCTTGAGCAACAAAACCAATTTTCGAGCCAAAAATAAAAAGATTTGTATTAAATTTTAATTTATTTATAAGGTGTTAATTTGCATTAAAACAGGGTTTTTTTTTTAAATTGGACAAGAAAACGAAAAGTTAAAAATTTTTTGTCAAAATTAATAATTAATTATTTAAGGTTTTGACTTTTCTCACGTGTAGTAGTTGTCTCACAATTACAAATTTGATTTTATTTTTTACTTACAAAAAAATATAAGACAAAATTTTTAAAAGTTACCACTTTAAACTGTTTTTGATCAAAATTTTGATTTTTTTGTTAAAATAGGTAAACCGTTGAAATGTTCTGATTAATATTGACTTGAGTAAAATTTTCTGAAAATATCAAATTTGTCATTGTTTTTGGTTTCCAATCTATATTTTTGAGATATTGGGCAAAATGTATACATTAGGGTCATAATTCTACATGAACTAAAAGCCAAATTTAATTTAAAATAATTAAATATTTAATGTTGATCGTGAAATTTTTATGCACAAAAAAGAGATAATTCTGTGCACAAAAAAATATTTTTGTCAAAATTAACAATTAAAATATTTACATTTTTGACTTTTCTCATGTGAAGTTGTCTCACAATTACAAATTTGTTTTTATTTTTTACTTACGAACAATAGCTTTTAAAATGTAAGACAATTTTTAAAAGTTACTATTTTAAACGATTCTGCTTTTGAACTAAATTTTTTTTTTTTGTTATTTCATGTTATCTTGAGTAAAATTATCTGAAAATTTCAAGTTTGTCATTGTTTTTGGCTACAATCTATAATTTGGCCAAAGTGTGTACATTAGGGCCAAAATTTTAAATGAACTAGGTAAAAGTCAAATTCGAATTTTTGTCACTACAAGAAACAACAAAAATGTCACAAATTGTTTCAAAATTTTGAATCTGTTTTAATTTTCCGTCTACGAAAAACAGTTTTTAAGATATCGATAAAACTTAAACTTTACCTTGTCAAAAACAATTTTTTTTTCAGACACAAACAGCTGAAACACCTGAAACTTTTACATTTCTTGAGTAAAATTATTTAAGAATCCCAAATTTTAAATAACAATTTGAATACCAAACAAACCGTATCAATTTTTTTTGCATTTTCTCCACCTGCCACGATTTTCACGAGTCGTTCAGTGTCTGTCCTTGTTAGGTAGAAGTAAAAATAACAATGAAAATAATTTGCATTGAATGTTGGCCGTACAAGTTTTATGCACAAAAAAATATCAGATGCTTCTAAACGCCCTTTCAGATAAATTGTTCTATTTGCTGAACATCCTGTATGAGGTCAATTTATCGTACGTTTCCTTGAGAAGCATTTCAAATGCACACAGAAATCACCCCCAAACTCTGTTAATGTTTTTTCCGGACACACTGTATTTTTAATTTTAAATAAATAGAACTTGAAGAGCAATGTATTTGTTAATTAGGATCTGAATAAGATAGCGATCCTGAAATATCGAAAGTTCCAAGTCACTCAACAAAGTTAGATTAAATTTAGTTTATGTAGAATTTTCCGCCCAGCAAAATATTATCCTTCTTTACAAAACTCGTAGATAATCAATACCGCGGTGATAAAGATCGAAAATTTCTCTTCCTACTTTTATTATGTTTTCCACATTCTTGTTTACCTATAACGAATGTAAATATCCCGTTTTTAACCGGCGGCTGATCTAGCTCGAGTTTGTTAAATTGGCTCAAATAAAACTAGTTTGTTTTGTTTTAAATCCAATAATAGAACGAAGTTACCCCATTGATTGAGTTAAATTTGCAAAAAACTTCTTCAAGTAGCAATAGGAAAAACTACTTACCTTGTGATTGGTTGTTTTTTTGAGTGATAAGTGCAGAAATGGCCATCAGGTCGGTCCTTTGTGGTGCGTTTTAGATTAAAACATTTAGGGTGAAATAAATGAAATGGAGTGTAAGTGGTGAAAACCGACACGGTTAGACCGCAATGATAACAAGGTCGAACAATGGCGGTTCACAAACAGAGTAGTCCTTATTACATCGGCATTGTTTCTTTGATAAATGAATGTTTCCACAAACCAAGATAAAACCATCAAAGAAGAAAGGAATAAAAAGTTTGATGATAAAGTCCTAGATGAACAACACCGCAAAACCGAGCGAGAGGCTGCTTGTAGATCAAACGAAATTATTCGAGTTATTTTTGAAACAATTTCGGAGACAGTGGAGGAAAAAGGGAAACAAAATTTGGCATGCTTAGTTTAATATAAGTTGATGTGTGTCGATACAGGAAATGAATGAATTCTAGAAACACACCTTAAGTCGTTTCTATTCTATCAACGGATCCTCTAGTGTGAAGATAACGACATTTTCGACATGATGACGGGAAACTAAGAGACGAATCGACAAGAAAACTCCAGGGTGAATTTAATCTAGAGACTCGTGTGTTTGTGGATTTTCAAGTAGTGTTTTGGTATTCCTCGTGGATCGGCCGTCTCTTCAAGACAGAGAGGTCGCGTTTGTATCAGGGATAACGAACCTAAGATAAAGTCCTCCTGATAATGGAGCCTGGGATTACTTTATAATTCCCTCTATAACCCATTTTTGTTTGTGTTACACGTTTTTCATTCAACGGTCTTTGCCTAATCCCGACACACACAAACCTTTTGTTGATTGAAAATTTATCCCAATAAAAGCCTCCACTACCATAATCCGTTTTTATTTTTTCCAAAATAAAATACATATAAGTGTAATTTTTAAACTGTTAGGATTTGACTTCGAACCGAGAGAGCCCATCTCAATACGGTTCAAACTCAATAACATTGTTACAGCAATACTCATGCGTTATATATACATTTAGTTAATTTTAGAGTAATTACACAATATTTAAAATTAATTTTCGCTACATATAAATTTAGTTATAGTCAAACGAGACGTTTGACCCTAATTAACCACCAATTGACCTCGTGTCGTCAACCTTACAATTTTTTCATCACAGGGATTTATTTTAATGTAAAGTAACATGAAATTTTGGCAAGATAAATTTTAGGAACTAAGACTAAAAATCAAAACTTATCTTGTCCGAAAAATTTCATGCAGGACTTAGATTTGAATCAAGTGCATTAAACCTTAAGCGCTAACGTGTTTTTGGATTTTATACAATTTTTTCCCTAAAATTTAAATCATAAACGTATTCAGTTTCATTAACAGACTAGCCTTAATTTGGTAATAAATGGAAAATTCATTAATTACAATGACATGTGCCACTTATTTAAAAGCTCCCCTCTTCGAGAGAAAAAAGCGTTTAAATTTACAATCTATGATAAGGGCAAGTTGCCCGAAATGATACGACTAGAAGAGTGATTTGATTGTTGGAAACATTTATTAATTATAGATATGTACAATAGTAAATGGCTACATTTTATAAACATATACCGAACTTAAAACTTAATTCTTAAATTAGTGCCATATGAAACTACGAAACTTTAACAAGACGAAAACAAAGCAATAATAAAGGAATGTACAAAGCAACAGTTAAATTCATATCACTCACACAAGTGTCTTTGGCTTATTAGCAAAATCTGATCGAGAGAACACAATTACCTTGGATATAACATTAAAAAACAACACATCGCGACGAGGGAAACATGAGGGAGAAATGCTTTCCGGCTTCCTGCGGCTGGAAAAAATACATCAATTAGTATTCTCCAACATAAGACAAATTAAGAAAACACAACCGCTACTTGCGTTTTGTGAAACAAAAGCTTAATTTGAGACAATTGGCGCAGGAAGTGAGTTATTAAAACGCGACTTGTTTAAGGCTGCATACAAATCAATTTTATTTTTCAGTCACTCAGCTCATGTAACACTAAATTACTTATAAAAAATTGATACGTATCTTTATCGGAATAAATAACTAAAACACGCGTTCGTGCACACTAGTTAAGTTGTTACTGCTAAAATATGTCCTGATACAGGTAATTAAAAAACGATAACGTTACCTCTGCAATAAAAAACCTAATTATAGAAAATTTAAAGTTCATAAAACGTTAATACTGAATTTAAAACGTCGATTTTATTTTTAGATGCAATTACAGAAAAAAACACAAACAAGGTTACACAACTAAATTCATCGCAATTTACTAAAATAAGAACATGTTTAAAAAATTTAGAATTTCTAGCAATTTTCGGTGATTATTGCTGTTTATGTGCTTAAAAACATCGAGAACAAAGATAAAAAGCTCACTTGTTATGTGAAACATTTCCAAGTTCCCAAGTAAAAAATATGCAGGGCAGCAATGATAATAAATTTTAGATACAATTTCTAACAATTTCAAGTACATAATAACATTGTTTACATGAAGTACAAAGGTAAAAAGCTCACTTTTTATGAAGCATTTTTAAGTAAGAAATATGCTCAGCAATGGCATAAAACGAGTTGTTTCAAAAGTTTTAGGGTACCAATTTTTGGTAATCACTGTTGTTTATAAGTTTAAAACATTGAGAAAATACTGAAATTACTGATTTTTTTTAGATTTAGCGGAAAGAATTTCTTGTGAAAATTACAGACATTGATCTGAAAATGGATTTCGGCAGATTTTTTTAAAATTGAAGTAAATTAGTGAAATTATTTGTAAATTACTAGATTTCTGAAATAACTGAGTTTTTTTGAGTTATCAGAAATAAATTAAATAATTTCTTTTCAAAATTACCTTGAATTTCTTACAACTATCGGGTTTAATTTGAGATTACAGAAATTTCTTTGGAATTACGAAAACTAAGTTGGAATTATGAAAATTAATTTGAGATTATGAGAATTAATCTTAATACAATGAAATTATTTGAATTATTGTAATTACTAAAATTTTGGAATTTTTTTTTAGAATTACTGGAATTATTTGTAAATTACTGGATTTTTTCTGGAATCTATCGAAGATAATTTCTTTTGAAAATTACGTTAAATTTCTTAGAACTGGCGGAATTAATTTGGAAATTAGAAAAATTTAGTTGGAATTAAAGAAATTAATTTGAAATTATAGAAATTCACCTAAAAACTGTAATTTCGGTGGAAATTTTTTGAAATTACTGAATTTTTTCTAAACTACACTACATAAAATTCTTTTTGAAATTATCGGAAACAATTACTTTTGAAAATTACGTTGGATTTCTTAAAACTGTTGGAGTTAATTTGGAATTATGAAAAWTAAGTTGGAATTAAAAAAATTAATTTGGAATTATAGAAAACCTGAAAACTGAAATTTCGGTGGAAATTTTTTGTAATTAATAAAATTACTGGAATTTTTCTAAATTTACGTTACATAAAATTCTTTTTGGAATTATCGGACACAATTACTTTTGGAAAATTACCGTGGATTTCTTAGAACTGTCGGAATTAATTTGGAATTATGAAAATTAAGTTGGAATTAAAGAAATTAATTTGAAATTATAGAAATTAATCTGAAAACTAGAATTGCGGTGGAATTTTATTGGAATTAATAGAATTACTAAAATTTTTCAAAATTTACACTACATAAAATTCTTTTTGGAATTATCGGAAATAAATTATTATAAATTATTTTACGTTAAATTTCTTAGAACTGTCGGAATTAATTTGGAAGTTGGAATTAAAAAAATAAATTTGGAATTATAAAAATTAACCTAAAAACTGTAATTTCGGTGGAAATTTTTTGAGATTACTGAAATTTTTCTAAACTACACTACATAAAATTCTTTTTGAAATTAACGGAAACAATTACTTTTGAAAATTACGTTGAATTTCTTAGAACTGTTGGAGTTAATTTGGAATTATGAAAATTAAGTTGGAATTAAAGAAATTAATTTGGTATAAAAATTAGGAATTTCGGTGAAATTTTTGAGAATTAGTAGAATTATTGGAGTTTTTCAAAATTTACTAAAATTCTTTTTGAAATTTTCGGGAATATTTTGTATTGTTAAACGTTAAACTTAGTACTATCGCAAGAATTGTGGAATTACGCAAAACAAGTTGGAATCAGAAATATTTTGAAATTAAGAAAATTAAAATGAATCTTAAAATAAAAATAAATAAATTAATCTTAAAACAATAGTTTGTTGGAATGACTAGAATTTAGGTGGAATTTTTTTGAAAGAAAAAAGCTCAATTTTTATAAAACATTTTCAAGTAAGAAATAGGCAACACAAAACGTGTTTCATAAATTTTAAGTACAATTTCTAGCAATTTTTGCAAATCATTATTTATTTGTTTAAAAACTAGGAGAACAAAGATAAAGAAGCTTTATGAAACATTTAAGTAAGAAATATGCAGTTTAGCAATGATAAAAACGTGTTTCAAATGTTTTATCACAATTTTTAGGAATTTTTGGTAACATTGTTATGGTTATCTAAGGTAAAAAAGCTCACTTTTTGTGAAACATTTCCAAATAAGAAATATGCAGCTTATGAAGCTGCATTACCCCAAAGTACTTGATCAAACACAATAGATATATGGTTGCCCAAACATCAAAGTAAAGCAAACTTCCAAAATCAATAGTTGGTATCCAAGCATTGTCGAGTATTCCAAAAAAGTGCTCTCAACTGGCAACGATGCTTTGCGGTGAACTTTATTATTTGACGTACACTTGAAAGAGCTTTTTACCTTAAAGCTCAATTAACTATTTATCACAATTTTGTGCAAGTTGTATCAGTTTTCAATAAAATTTTATTTATGGCGAATCTAGGCGTTTGCGAGTCTCGTCACCGTGTCTCCAACTGGATCCAAGTTTCGCCAAGGTGCCAGATATGAACTTTCCTAAGGTATTTTATAATTTCATGATCAGATTATTGATCTTAGAGAAAATTCACAGAAACATGTTTTATTGGAAGCGGGCCAAAAGTATTCATAAATAAATTTCCTGCACTGCACCATCCACTTTATTCAAAATTTACGACATGCACGAGGATCTAAAAGAGGGGAAAAGGACGACATCCTTACACTCGAGCGATACTATCAACACACGTGTTCGTCGCCGGGACAATGTTATCAACGCAGGATAATACCAGACGTCTCGTAATTCTTCCTGCTTGACGTGATGTTTCTGATGCGTCTTTTACACCTCAATCGTACACACTTATCGCCAAATAAAATTCCAATATCCGGGAAACGAAATATTTATTCACAATTTTTTACATTTTTATGCTTATTTTTTAAGCAAAATATGCATAAACAAGCACAAAAATGGAAATATGTCCAAAAATATACTCATTTTTTCAGTGCTGTTCAAAACAAAATTTAATTTCTAATTATCATAACAACAAATGTTTGACAAAAAAAACTTAATAATAATAATAACTTTATTAGTTAATTTGGAATTATAGAAATCAACCCGAAAACTAAATTTTTTTGTAATTAATAAAATTACTGGAATTTTTCTAAATTTACGTTACCTAAAATTCTTTGTGGAACTTAGAATGATTTACAGAAACATTAAAAATTTCAAAAAAATGGAAATATGTCCAAAAATATACTCTTTTTTTCAGTGCTGTTCAAACCAAAATTTATTTTTTAATAAAAAAATTATCAAAACAACAAATGTTTTACAAAAAAAACTTAATAATAATAATAACTTTATTTGACAGTAATATGCTTTACATTACCGCCAATATTAAAAATTCGAAAAAAATCAGTTAAAAAATAATGAAATTAAAGCAATTTTGTAGTTGAAGTGCTAAGCTAGCCCCAAAATTTACGAATGAGGGCTAAAACCGCTTGCCAAATCGTGGAAAAAATTTTCAAAAGTAAATAATTCTACAGATTGGTTCTTTATGTACAGTCAGTGCAAAATTTAGGAGAATTTGAACGAAATCAGGGCCGTAATGAGCAATTTTCTGATTCAAAATGGTTCAAAATAATTTTAATTCTCAAACAAAAAACCATTTTTTTGGTGTTTTTGCCAGGTGTGGCGCACTTAGAATGATTTACAGAAATATTAAAAATTTTAAGAAAATCGGTCAACGATTAAAGAAGTTAGAAATTTTTTTAGTTGGAGTACTAAGCTAGCCTTAAAATTACAAATAAGGACAAAAAATCGCTTGTTTACGTTTTGCTATGTGTGGATTATTTTTAAGTTTTTACAGCACTGAAGTTTTCTTATGAGTATATTTTTAGACATATTTTCAGTTTTTGTGCTTTTTATGCACATTTTGCTTAAATGTGCTTATTTTAGCGTTTATTTTTGTTCTTTTGCTGCTAAAAAGTCAAAAGTCAATGACAATTTAAACTAAAACTTAAATAATTTTTTTTCTAAATTACGTTGAATTTCTTACAACTATCGGGTTTAATTTGGGATTACAGAAATTATTTTGGATTTACGAAAATTAAGCTGGAATTATGGTAATTAATTTGAGATTATAGGAATTAATCTTAATACAATGGAAT